CCTATTCATCTTCCCACTTCCTCAGACTCGTCTTCTTCATCTCAGTCCTTTATTTCAAAAATAATATCAGCTCCATATCTCCTCCCCAAATTACTCTATGTTTTCCTATACGGCGGTATGGGTGCTGCAATCCCATTTCTCCCCATTTTCTACAAAAATTCACTTAACCTGTCTTCCAGCCAGATCGGAATAATTTTCTCGATCGCCCCATTTATTGCTGCCATAAGCTGTCCTTTATGGACCGGGCTCGCAGACAAGTTTCAAGCGCACAAGGCGATCATGATCATTACATATGTGGCAGCAGTGGCTAGCATTGTTGCGCAAATGTTGTTGCCCAGAGCCGATGCTGTCGATGAGGAAGGCGGACAGTGGTCCGAGCAAGATTCGAAAGACAGTCCCGGAAGAGGATCGATCATGGCTTGGGTATTGTTTGCGGCAAGTTGGTTTGCATTCTTTGGAATTCCTGTTAATGCCTTGGTCGATAGTGGCATATTAAAGATTTTAGGGGGTAAGAAAGAACTGTATGGTATGTTTTTCATTGAAACCCCCCATAATACATATGCACATAAGTAACTCAATCCGGTTTGTACAACGTATCATTTCATTACAGGCGAACAACGACTCTGGGGCTCGGTGTCTTACGGTCTCTGCACATTCTTTGTTGGTATCCTCATCTCAGCATCATCAATAGACGCCGTCTTTATACTTTTCTATATCTCTGCGATTTTCTTTGGTCTCTGTGCATTATTCACGGATTTCAATTCCGCATCCGTCTCCAACCCCACATCTCGGCCTCTTTCCACATATGCCTATCGCGGCCCCGCGGCATTTAAACCTCTCATCGACATTGAAGATTCTGATAATGATGCCGGACGCTCGTCTCACGTATTCAGCATCGATGATTCGTCAAACAACGGCGATATTTTTGATACGTCCGATGAAGAGGACATTGATGACGAAGAGGAGGAGGAAGATAACGAGGTTTCCGTGCCGGATTTAGATGTATTGGCTTTCCCGCCGAGTGCCCCGACTATAAAAAATGCAAGTCTGGTCGAGAAACCATCTTCGGCTGTTATGGTTTTGATTACTAACCCATCAGTGGCGACGTTGCTGATTACAATGTTGTTGATGGGAACGGCGATGGCGATATGTAACGCATTTTTGTTGATATTTTTGAGTGAGGATCTGAACGCGAGTTCTACTGTTCTTGGGTTGACTGGACCGATGAGTGCAATAACCGAACTATTGTTTTTCTTCTACTCAAAGGATGTAAGTTGACAGGAGTATTTGTTGGTTACAAGATGGTTAGACTAGATAAAAAAGATGAATATGAAAGAGATTGTGTTTCACCTAATGTCTAATCACCGATTTCTCATCTTTTGCTTGCAGCTCATAAGCCGATTTGGAATTGCGCAATTGATAATGCTTGCTCATATTGCGACTATCCTTCGCGCAATTACATACGTCTGCCTCCGGCCAAACACCTTCTCACACATTATCGCGTTGCTCGTCCAGACACTCAACGGAATGGCGTTTACCTCTCTGTGGGCGTCTGGTGTTACGCATTTGACTAATCTCTCTCCACCTAACCTCGTATCGTTTTCGCAAGGATTAATGATGGCTGCATTCGCGGGTAAGTGAATGTCATGACTGATAATTCCCAAAAGGAACCGGGT